TGCTTCTCCAGATTGAGAAGTCACAGCTGCGATGGCTTGGGCATGTGTTGTGAATGCCTCCAGAAAGGAATGCTAAGCAACAGTTTCTTGCGAATCTGACCGGCAGAAGGCCCAGGGGACGGCCAAGATTAGCCTGGTGCAAATATATGGAAGGAGTCTGTTCCAGACTCCAGTTTTCTTCTGCCGAAGCTCAGACTCTGGCACAGGATCGGGAACATGGAAGCTCCGTCTGACGCGTCTGCCTCCGCGACTCGAAAGAAAAAACGGCGATGGAAAATGATGAAGATGAATGTACTCAGGTGTAAAATCAACATTAGTGACTTTAGAAATAACTAACGTTTTTGTTCTGTCTTGAAAAAATCACCCGTATCATAATTAATACTTTTCATGTTTTACTAAATCATGAAAAAAGCATCGTCTCCTGAAAAATCTTGAGTGACAAGCAAGGTGTGGTGACCGATATGATACGCCGTGTGTCTATCGTTGCAAATGTAAAATAACGGAATCGTGACCCCTTTAAATAGCCCTTAAGGAGTCTAAGAGATCAAGAGTGATGCAGCCCACTGTGAAGCCCGGTTTTGGAGAAGTCAAGTGATTATGCTTACGGAACAACAAACCTTATGTTTCAAGTACCGATTATTCATTAAGGGAGGCTTTATATTGGTTAAATGATTTTACTTTCAAAAATGCGGTAAGTCACGTTCCAGAGGACGCTGGATTCAAGAAATTCTATTGTACTAATGAAGCAGCAAACCAACAAGCGAATGATTTTGAAGAATATACTTACTTTCGATGGAACTTTGCTCATAGGATCCGGTCTGTGAGGCCACTGGCCCATTTCCATGATGAAGTCGATATCATCTTTCTGCAAGTCATATGAATCACACAGCTCGATTGCCTGATCTATGCCTTCGGGACCATTTGTAATCAGAGCATTCGTTATCGACTTTCGAAGTAAAGGCATGTATTCAAGATTGAGACTATTCAGATTCGAAGAGACGCTAAAAAGGAGAATGACTACCGATGAGCTGGAATAACAAGCGAACAAGCGATCCTATCACAAAACTTACTGTAAGCTCATGTGCATGTTCAGCAAATAGAGCAGACGAAGCAAGCGGCCGGACTTTGAGTTCTTGCCGAACCACTGGGGAAAGAATATCTGGCGGTGCAAACGTCCCTTGACGTGATCACACGGCAGTACGGCGGCCAGCATTGCCTAAACAAAATCTGACCCTCACGTCGAGTTTCGGCTGCACATAACCGAAAACGGTTGTCTTTTTATCAAATACTGAGCAGGAAAAATAAACATTAACAGAGACCTTAACCAAATAGGAAAGGACGTTTTGGGTTAGCGAAGATTTGAATATTATACACATTATTCTTTGCGCTAGATTTTATTCTAATCTGCAACGTGCATTCATTAGACCGAACGTGGTTCTGTTCCCAATTTTGTTTATGATTTTATTATTATTTTTTCCGTCTTTGGTTTAATTTCGCTATTCAAAATTAGAAAGATCATTCAGGGGCAGACACAGCATACCAAACTTAGTATGTACTTATTTTCCGATGTTTCGGCTCGTTTGATTCGTGTTTAGGGAGTTATGTTAAACAGCAAAAATAAGCTACAATATGGAAAGTACAATCAAGTAGCAACTGGCTAGAGAGCTTTCAACCTCCATAATAAAAGCTGCCCAATAGTTTGACCTGAGTAAAAAGTATACTTCTTCCAACGTCCTTATTCATGCAATTTTTTATTAAGTATGCGCACATATGGCTGTCGCCTATGCTACAACACAGGATTCAATAGTAATCTTGTTCAAGCATTAAACAGTTAATGTTGACAGCGGGCATTCATCATCATGGCAAAGAATGATTATGAACGATGTCCATTTGGTGGAAAAGTTGATTTAAACTGAGTAAAGGTCTCCTTTTACTGATGGTGGAGGTACCAACCGCTATAAACCGATTTCAGCATCGTATAAATAAGCGCTTTTGAAATTCGCGATTCGGCGGCCACAAGCAAACCTCTTCGCTGAGTAAGCTCCAGTCACCGCCGGTTCTTATCTGCTTCTCCAACACGTCACCATAGGCTATTAAGTCGGCCGCGACGCTTAGTCTGTCCAGTTGATCGTTGACGGACCTAAAATACCAGTCAACTGATCAGCGACGAAAACAAAATTGACTTGTCACTAATTCCGTTATTATAGCCAGCCTCAGTATTCGCAATAATGCATATCAAACTTTAGTATCGTCATCTGACACGCTGTTTTCATCATTAGCTGAAACACTTGAAACAAACTGGGTTGAGGCAATCCTCCAAAAACAAATAATACTTAAAACATACACTGATTTCATGCTGGGAGTCACCGAATTTCATTACGATGTCAGATCGTAACTGGCAGCAGATTTTAATCAGGAGAGAATCTCTATCTATCGAATCGCCAAGACGCCTCTACTAAATGAGCATATATCTTCATCAAACGAACTAACAATAAAAGGAAAAATGCCAGTTGTGTACCATATCACTGATAAAAGAACATAAGCTCTCAAAACGATAAGGGTTTAATTGCAAAGAACAATTATTCCCTTACTTCGCTCTTGCTCACTAACGCTGCGCAGCGGTCACCTGGTCAACATTTGCATATTTCGTTTCTAGTATGACACATTCTAGGACGGAGTTAAACGAAATACAACTAATCAATTTGCCTAACAAAGTCATCTCATTTTCCTCCTAATCTGTCTCTGTTGAAGAAAGCTGTGCCTTGAAAAGAATTGAAACATTCCTTATATGATCCTGCCATTTAACTCTGATTGTGCTTCTAAGCCATCACTGCCATACGCTGCTCAACTGACGTTCGTGGTCTTTCATTAGATTAACGGTCTCTTTGCAGCAATACAACACTGACCTTATGGACAGAGGATCTTTGTGGAAACGTATATTCGCTTATCGGTGTAATATCGACACACTAGTGAACCGACACACTATTAAAGCATTGATTCTCTGTTTATTTATCTCTGACTGATTGAAAAATTGTCGCTGGCGACAATAAAATTCAGGAACTCAAGTACACACACAAACTGCTTCTTCCTCTTCACCTTCCTAGAACACTAACAATGCAAACCTACTGTGCTTGATAGGCTCAGGTTGTCTGTCTAGTGACTGTGCTGCCCTCCTCATGTGGACAGTTTCAAATCAGCTGCCGCCGTTAGTCTTCCCCGCACGATTCAGGAAAAAAGTTTCCTCTGGCTTAACCGCAGCGTGGCACTATGATAGTTAGAACAGTCGGTTGAGTCGTTTTAAATATCGGTACAACCTGCGCACTTCGATCCTTGAGGGCATTATTTTTAGGGTGGTCGCG